TCCACTACGAAAATAGGTTTTAAGATAAAGACATGCCCTCTGATTTTAACTGGATTCTTTTAATTGAGCAAACTTAGGTCCTTACGGCAATGTACATTCAATGACTTTTCAGGAATGCCGAAGTATTAATCGATCAAATTTGAAATATCATCGCCCTTTATCTACATTCCCTAGCAACAAACAGGCTACTAAACAAGTCGAAAAAAAGAGGACAGTTTTGGGAATGGATGTACACTCTCTGAGCAAAAGTTAAACAGCGAGTAATGAGAACTGGATGATACCCCCCTCATTTTCAATATTTATGTATAAATTCGCCTCAAAATTTCTAAAATACTGTTAGGAAATAACATTATTAATCGTGCTACATTCTTTGAAACTAGCTTATTGATAAGCGAAATGAAAATATGGTCACTGGTATGCCTTGATGCATCCCTATACTGCAGGTCTGAGTAGTTTTTGCGTCACAAATAATTATAAACCATATTTTCCATAAATTACTGCTCCTTGGATGGTGGCAGAGTACTCTATTATTTAACAATTTTTGTATAATTTAAGCACTTTACTTTGTAATTTAACTGTCTTCAAGTCTGATATCTTTAAGAGTGAGTTTGATTTTACTGTCGTGGTACTAAAGTCTAAATTCAGTAGCGTGGTACCGTTTGATTTCGATGTAGTAAATGCTTCCTTTAAATAGAAACGCTACACTCAAGCATGCGTGAGTCTACTACCTTACATTTGGAGTTCTGGAGAATTTTAGCTTATACAACAGGAAAAAACGCGGATGTTTGCGTTACATTTTTTATTTTCAAGAACAAGGCCTTCGTGAACTACCATAACAAGGTATTTGTCTTGGATGATGTTTAAATCACCCTTCCTACAATCCCTATGTAAGCAGCAGCGCCTGCAATCATTGAGTTTTAATCTTTTATGCTCTGTGTTGTTCTGATTCGTATCATGGTAAATAAACTCCATCAATCTTTCAGAAATGAAGCCAATTTTTGCAAATAAGCCCTCACTATCGATTCTTGACGAAGGGGAGGAGGTGGAGGTGACACGCCTTGAATGGACCAAGTAACTTATTATTTGCTAAGCCAAATCTTGTGGACTCGAAAATACCTAAATAAATAATTATTTGTATGCACCTTTAAGAGAGGAAATGGCTTTACCATCTTGCAAAATAATATGTTTTAACAAGGTGCTGGTGGAGGTAAATAAGAAATGATGATATGCATCATGTTTGCAGAATCTTTCATAACGAGCCCAGAATCTTTCACAACGATGGCATTTGACAGCAGGCATGATTTTTAGTGCTGCACACAGTGTCATTAGCGGGTGAAATTCATGCTCAAACCGGAAACGTGACAGGTGAACATTCAAATCGATAGAACCACAAATTTGGGTATTTCATTTCATTCTTCCAAGAATATGTGAGATTTTGAATTTGCTTTATTGATGCAAGGGGTTTTCAAAGCCTTTGTTACCACTCCATGATGCTGTTTGATACTACTATACTCCCTAAGATGAGATGATATTCTAATACGTAGGTGACTTGAGCCAATTTGACTTTAAAACCTAGTTTTATTTTTACTTTCAGCTGCAAAATTTGTTTCACTTAAGTGTTTTTAGACCATTTTGCAAATTCGTCTTTTTGCAAAGGATAATTTTTGGGACAGTTAGGCACTGTAAAAACCATCTTCTGGTATTCCGTCCTTCCATTAATAGAAATATTTATAATTCACTGCAATCGCTGGCACTTTAAACTATTTTAGAGGCATTAACTTAGGGGTCAGTTTAATTGCATTTTTTAGCTTGGCTTTTCATAGCTAGAAAAATTTTAAGCCCCAAAAAAGACAACTGATAAACATAATTGCACAAGATCCGACCAAGTTTGTGCGGGTCAAAAAGTGGTTATAATTCTCAGGATGGAACACTATTCCAGTCTGACTATAAAATAGCGAAGTGTTCACCTTCTGCGAGTGACCACAGCAAGCCTATACATATGCATTTATGGAAAAAGTTTGTGGTTTTGGCCATTTTTTAGATATCCTATTTGGGAGCGTGTGAGAAGAAACGCTATGAATTACTTGACTGTATAGCTTAAAGACGGGGATAAAATCTTTCTGAGAGAAGTACATTAACGCCTCACAAATGCGACATCGGGTATGAGCTAAGATACGTCCGATAAACAAAATACCATTGACCAATGCCCGGGTGTGGAGGCGAGGTCCCATTCAGAAACCTAATTGCAGACTTGGATCAAAATTATTGGTTGTGCTTTGCACTAATCCCAATTTTATCACCATGTCATTCGTTTTTTAAATATATCTAGATAATCACAAGGTCACTTGAAAACTGCATTCTTGTAATGGGCAATCACGAATATTCCAAAATCTTTATTCAGATAGTGCATCAGACTCAAATAAGTTTGCCATCCCCTGAAAAATTATTCGACTGCGTCATCACTCACATTCCACAAATGTGTACTTTAAACGTAAATATTTTCCGAATTTCTATCATCTCATGCACCGACTTATTTGCAGGTTTAATTTTTAAGGAGAGTTTTGCTAAAACTTGTGACAGCAAATTGTATATCCCTTACCAATTTTTTTTGGACCGTTATTCATAAAATACCTTCCTTTTTAAAAATACGCAAGAAAAATATTTTAGCTGTGGAATTTGTACATTATTTGGTTTTTAGTCCGCTTTCGGTAAACCATTTTTACGATATACCCCATTATTGCCTTCTGAGTTGCAGTCAGCTAAATTTGTCATTCCTTTTGTGCTCGAATCGATGTTGACACTTTACTTTCTTGGGCAGGTTTAACAACACTTTAGGTCAATCGCTTCTGGCTAAGAGAAAAACACTCTGTTGCAGAAACCATGCTGCTTCATTACTACAATTCTATTTTTATCTGCTACTTTTGCGTGACTGTTGAACCAGCCACGGAATTCCACGGTATTAACGTAACAAAGGGATGAATGATGAGAGAATGGTTAGTTATCAGCTGCCAAAGTGGTGCCTTTAAATTGGATGTGCAAAAATTTACTTACAAATTTATTTATTTTATCGATAAAATTAAACAAAGGCTAGAAGAGAGCAAATAGTGATGACATTACTTAGATTTTTAACCCTTGTAAATTAACACCTATCATTTCTGAAATGGGACAGTGTCACAGAACCCCATTTGCAAGCAGATACCATTTTCCTAAAACTCCCTGCTTTTGTTGGATGACAGTATGAATTTGTCGTTAGCTGCGTGCCAACGACAATTATTTCTACCACCCAAACTCCAGTGTTTTCATTAAGACATATAAACGGTAATCACTAGATTATTCCGTTCCAAAATTTACACTATTTAAGAAATCTGTTCCGGAGAGAAAAGTGAGAGTGAAAATTATTTTTCTGGCGCCTACCTTATTTTGATATTTTATCTGAATATCTTCTGTACTTCCTCATTTATTAGCCGCGACCATCACATCACTACATAGGGGAAATTATTATTTTCCAACTAAAATAATGACAATTACGTACCTCTTACATCATTTAGCCATTTCCACCTTTCCAATCTTATGCGTGAAATCATAGCAATAGGTGTTGCTCATTTGAAATTTCGAAGTATTGTGTACTATAATAAAAGGAGTTTTAAAGGTGATATTTTTAAGACGCAACAATCAGTGAACTGTGGTACTTGTACAGGACCACCTCTCATCTATTATTGTCTGCAGTAACACCAAGTCCATGCTAGTATTTCGATAAAACCATATCTTCTAATAAGCGCTTCTTTTCCAGCGACCAAGAATGTCAGCGCGACCAGTTTGTAAGTTCTAAAGTAACAGTGCGAAAATTGGATGTTATGAACCTTAACAAGCATAATATTTCTACTATCTTTGAATCAGTGGCTTTTAATTGCAGCATCTCGTCTGCTAAGTTCCAGCATCGATGTTGCAAGTCCAGCAGGATGACTTTAAACAGATCCATTATTACTGTAAATTAAATGATTATTTTTTTAGCTGTTATAAGACGCCTTGTTGTCAAAGTATGGTAAGAGCTGCTGGTCTGCATTAAATTATCTTCTACCCAACCAAATAGAATAAATAATAATGAAAATCATGGTCAGAGATGTAAGGCAATGCTGAAAAGCTGTTGAGAACAGTGTTTTGTCTTTTCATTTGGTTTCGCTTCGACAATCGGGGATGATATTTACCTCCAGACAGGTCGTTTTGTTGAATTCCACTGCTTTATCATGATCACATTTCTTTGTATCCGCCTGTCTGACTTAGGAACTTTCGCTAATCAAACATTGAAATCTTCTGCTACAAAACGCAAGATCTCTTGAGTGTAACCATAATCGTTTTGGTCATGCAAATGATTCACTTGAACAAGTTGGGAAACTGCATTGCGCATTTTTCATATAGCATTTTTGCTACATTGTGGTTCCATGTATTTATTTCCTCATAAGTTCTGTTGATATTTAAATTATATGAGCACAGACATTTCGGTTCCTAGACTAAATATCCGAGATTCCAAGACTAGTGTCTTATTAGAAAGTCTGCTGTCAAAAAAGTGCATAGAAAACGTTGTCATTCAACCTATAGCTATTTTGATTGTGTGAGAAACAGCCTTTATGAGCAAATTTTCAAATTTTCTTTGCTGTTCAGAGCATTGATGCTTTTGTCACCGACATGATTGAAAAAGTTGTGCTGTAACTTTGCTCTAAGCTCCTGCAGTTTAATTTGGTTTTGTCCAATGTGTTCATACTTTACCACCAATTTAATTACTTGAATTGCTTCAGTTACTTGCTTAGATAATCGTTTTGGTTACGCGGACATTAAGGATTCCACCTTTGTACTTTCGTAAGGTAGCAAGGACCTGCGGCATAGCAGTCGTCTCCAGCCCTTCGGTACGTTGATTATACACATTCTGCCTGATGCTGTGTACTCTTTGTCTTTAGGAAAGACTTGGAGCTCTACACATATTTTTTGAATCGATTTTAACTGAGAACTTTAAAATTAAATCCACATTCCCTCTTAAACAAAAGCTCTCCAAAAGATTTGATTGCATGTATTTTTGGTGTCCAGAGGCGTAGAACGCAATTGCACAAGTATTATTCATTAATCCTATAAATTATACATTATCCTTAGAATCACCTTATGTATTATAAATGGCATTAATGTTTCGCTTTTTAGTTCTTTTATATAAACCATGCATTTTCTGGTCTTGACTTGTGAATTTGAGCCACCTGCACAGCGGATTGAACGTGTAAGGCTTCAGAATATGTGGGGATGTGCCAGAGCAACGCGCATTCTACTTGATGGGAAGATTTGCATATCTAATAAATTTTAGTGCAATGACAAATTTCAAGCTGAGTTCGTTCTTCTTTTGTCCTCCTCACATTAATTTCAGTATGAGATTTTCTTCACTAAGGGCCAAAGAACAGCTCAATAACCTAATTATCCTAAGCTTGTTTACCAAAGAAATAAAAACGTGAAAATTATTTGTCATTCTTACTAATTCCACGAATTTCCATTTAACATTTTGATCCATATTTAAATTAAACAGGAAATCAGATATTAGAAATCCGTTCTCGAAAACGGTTAAGGCTTCCCAAGTTTACGAGCCCCTCCCCTCTTAGGACGTGATTTTGTGTGGAGTCGCGCCTTCTCCAATACAGTCACTGCCATCAACAACTAATCTTTTGCAAACCGCATTCTCCATTTTAAATGGCAATATTTCATTCTTGCTGCTGCGTAAAGCATTGGTGAGGTTCAAGCAGTGGAAACTGGAAATTGTAAGTCCACAGGCTGGTTGGGCTGAAGCCTTTTTCAGTACTGAGCAAATTGCGAAAAATGAATACCTTCGCATTAGAGAGAAATACTTTCTACCAGGTAACGAATGAGCAGATGCTTCTGAGGGAGCCACGGAGTGTGAGAAAAACCAACATGGATATGGTGGTCAAGGAGAATAATGCTAAACCTTCTCGAGTGCTACCTGAAAGTGACAAACCGACCTTCACTCACATTACAGAGTGCCTTATCTTTTCAAGGCTCATGAGTTCCTCTATGGACCTTTACCAGGGAAAGCCAACAGTGGATCTATTCATTGACTCTTGGAGTTTGCGGGTAAGTTCATTGGTTTTTTAGATCGCCTTCATTGCTTACGGCTTGCTGATAGATTTCGTTCGGTAATGTGCAATATCATGACAACCCTGTACTTTTTACATACTGCACCAAACTTTCGCTCAGGAGGTGTGCCTTAAATAATTTTGGACTGTTTAGCAACATGCTTATTGCTAGATAGGGCAGATAACGGTGATGGTGTTTGAAATTCGATCGGCTGGTATTTTTGCCTTCCTAAAGGAGTCATTCTATGTAGGTTGCTGTGAGGACTTAATATTGCTTAATTAAAATAATCCAATAGAAAGCAGTGGG